CTGGCGGCGCTGTGGGCGCGGACGCCGGCGGTTCCGAGCCGTTGCGGCCGAACCCGCGGGCGTTCCGGCGGGCGGGCGGGGGACAAGAGCGGGGAGAGGGGTCCCTGGGCGTGGAAGCCCCCTACCTGTGTCGCCCAGCCCTCCACTTGACCACTCTCGGTTGACGGCCTACTCGAGGCCAGCCTCGCGCCCCGCACTTCACATACTCCCGACGACCCCTTTGGGACAGACGGTGCGGAGGAAACTGGAAGCTGGAGGAGCCCCTAGCTCTCAACCCCGCAAGCCTGGCTCCTCCCACTGAAGGGCATTCTCCCGGCGAGATCTCCTCTCTGCCCCTCTCCCCGCCAACACCCTTTAACCTCCTTCTGAAGCTCAATTCCTGTCACTGTCTCTCTATGCCTTGTAGACCTACTTGGTCCAGTTGCAATTTTCCACTCGCTTGATTACTGTATTAACGTCTAATATATTATTCACTTTACCTATTCCTTTTTAAAATTTGTCTCATCTCCACAAGGGCAGGGATTTTTATCTCTTTTATTAACTGCTGTATCATGAGTGCCTAGAGTAATGTGGTATATATAGTAAGTGCTCAATAAATTTGCGTTGAATAATTGAATGATTGCCCCTCTGTTAATGCAAGCTCCAGGTAGGCAGCAACTGTCTGCTTTTTAATCACCTTTCCATCAGAAGTGCCTAGTAGGCATTCAATACGTATTTGTTGAATGAATGAGTGAATTATTGCTTACTTCATCTTTATCCCCTTGGTCACTCTCACTTCATCATCCCAATTTGTTGGATAAATACATGAATTTCTTAGAATTCTTCTTTCCAAGTTTCCGTCCTTGTTTCCATTCACTCATCACTTTGATTCCCCATTCCACCCCTCATTTGTGCAAAATGAGTTGCATTTTTGGTCTCACTTCCTCCTTCAACCTCCATTACTTCTAGAAAGCTCCTAAATCTGCAGGTTGGCTTAGAACATTTCCAAGCAACATGTCTTCATAGGCAAGAGAATCCACGCTAAGCCACATTGAATCCAAAGAAAGCTTTCCACGAATCACCCATGGCCCTGGTTTGGGGCTTTAATTATCCTTGAGGAGAACTGAGGATCTGGCACCACCTCCTAAATTGAGATCGTGGTCATTGTTCATAATTTGTTCAACAAATATTTATGGGGTACCTTTCATATTTAAGGCACTATGTTAGATGCTGGACCAAGACAGGCAAAGTCTGAGAGCTCCAAGGGCTGCATAACACAAAAGAAAACAATTATGGATAGTAATGAGAAGTGTCCTGGCTTGAACTTAGCTATTTCTAAAAGAAATGAGTAAGAATGAGATAGGATCAAATTCTTCTCCTTATTGTAACAAATTTTAGCACAGGAATAGGTTAAGAGTGGAGGGGGGAGGAACGTATGGGGTTATAATACATTGCGCATTCATATTTATTATCTTGTTCAGCTTTCAGGTGGAAATGTAGGGCAGGAATCCTCTTTCGCATTAACTGGAACTAAGATCTAAGAAAGGTCAGTTGACTTGCCCAATGTGACACTGCCAGAAGACCCCTGCCTGCACTGTCCTTACTCCAAGGGGCATAGCTTAAATGCTTAAAATCCTCCTCGCTGGAAGCTCTTCAACGTAGGAGTCAATTTCAAATCTTCAGAGTAATGGTTTTAAAAACGCTTCTCAAAGGGAGATATGAGGGATTTTCCTGAATCTGAATTACCTGGGCGTGTTGTAAAATGGACATTCTTGGTGCCCAACACGGATCTATCCAATTAAATTCGCTGTGGATTCTGGGAATCTGTATTTTTAAATTCTCCAGGGGATTCTTCTGCTTAGAAAAGTTTGAGAACTACTAGTAGAGTTTGGGTGGAAAACCTCAACCTTAATGCAGGGCTAATATTTACCTTTGGGACAGACTTCGTCAGAATTCCAAAGAGTAAGCCATATGTCCTTGAGCAGATGGGACCGCAACGACTTTCTGGTAGGGAATTTTCTCTTTTTTAGGAAAGCATTTCTTGGAAATTGGGGGTTCCGCTGAGCAGGTGCTCGGCTGCCGGTGACCACCCACAGTTCAAAGATCTGTTGGCTCTTTTCCCGACACCCTATTTGTCACTGTCACTTTCCACCAGCGAGCCAGTCATTCGCCCCGCCGACCACGGTGGGGCGCAAGCGGCATGTGTTGTCTGCTTATCCGCTTCTTCCCGGGTCTGCCTTCGCGCCCTGAAGAAGAGCGTCCCTGGGCGTTCCTACCTCTGGTCGCCCGCTGTTGCTCTCTTCTCGCGAGAATTGCTCCTCCCGTCCTCTCCCTTCATCAACCCCCTCCCCTGGGCAGGTTCCATATTGGGTAAAATCTCGGCTCGCGGAGAGTCTCGGGAGCTGTTCTCGCGAGAGTACGGCGGGAGGCTCCAGTTCGCTGGCTCTGGTACTGCGACCACTGGAACCTCCGCGGGCGCTGCAGCTGGAGCCGTAGTCCCGCCGCGCAGTCTGGAGTCGGCCTGGTCTGGAGAGGGTGCAGGAAGAGCTTGGAGGGCTCAGCCTTGAGCCCCGGAGCGTGTCCCTCTTCTTAGCAGGCTCGCTCCAGCCACTGAGTGACAGGGGCCGCGCGC